GAATTATGTTCCAAAGAGGCAGCAACCAACCTTCATAAATCTCTGAACTAGGTTCAATATTGAAGCATCATAGAATCATAGAATCAACTAGGCTGCGAAAGACCTTTAAGATCACTAAGTCCAACCATTGCCCCAGGACTGCCAAGCCCACCTCTAAACCAGATCACTAAGGGCAAACTAATCTTCCCTCAAGATCTTCCCTTATGGCTGCCCTTCATGATGCCCTCTCATAGCCGCCTCTCATCTGCCCCTCATAGTGGCCCACACTGTATGGTTGCTGCACCTATCCCCTCATGGCTGCCTCTCACACCCCATGGCTGCCCATGCTCTCCACTCATGATCTTCCCTCATGATCTCTCCTCATGACTGCCCCTCATCCCTCATTGCCCAACTCTCACATCCCATGGCTGACCTTTCTCTCCCCTTATCATTGGCTCATGGCCACTACTCCTCTCCCCTCATGATCTTCCCTCATGGCCGCCCTTCCTCTCCCCTCACAACCACTTTTTACCCTTCATGGCCACACCTCCTCTCCCCTCACAACCTCACCTCACGACTGCCCTTCACCCCTCATGGCCACCCGTCATCTCCCCTCATGATCTCCCCTCATGGCTGCCCCTCCTCTCCCCTCAAGATCTTCTCTCATGGCTGCCCCTTCTTTCCCCTCATGATCTTCCCTCATGGCAGACCATCCTCTCCCCTCATGATCCTCCCTCACAGCTACTCCTCATCTACCCTCATGGCCACTCCTCATCTCTCCTCATGTTCAACAGTGTTTAAATTGGTATTGTCCAACTTTTGTACAACAGCCACGTGTATGCACTGCAGAGCCTGTTTCAGCTCTCCATCCATAATGATTAACCACGTACCTATCTACTTTATTGCATACATTCCCTTCCCCATTCCATGTACTCATATCCAGGCTCCTCTGCCTCTTTTTGCTTCTCCAACTATATAAACCTCACCAACTTGGCTACAAGGCCAGATTACCAGCAGAGCAGCCTCCTTCCTGCACTTCATGGAAGTGGGTGTTCAGAACGTTGTGGACCAGGATCTGATCCTCTCTGATGCTACTTTTCTCTCTGTAAAGTGGGGCAGAAAATGCTCCTTCCAAGAGACTCTGGAAGACTTAGTCTATAATTGCTTGTAAACCACTTAAGTAGTAAGTGATACAGAAATCCAAAGTGGTAATTGTAATCAAGGCTTGAGAATAATCTATTTTTGGCATGCTATACATACCTATGGACTTGATTCAAAGCAGTTACTAAAAACTATAAAGCATCAAAAAAAAATTACAGGAAAAAAAAAAGTTTGATTAAAACCATTCCAGAGGCAAATCCAACCTTCAAAACACTCTCCGAAAACTATTGTTATGGCCTGCTCATACAAACAATAAAATGAATGCACTGCTAAAATCATTACCTAATGTTCAGTTGATTAACATGGGTGCTAGAAAATACGCTTGCCTTCTGTGTTAGAGAATTAGATGTGAAGTATTCTAGAAATGTTTATCTATTGTACAAATTACTTTATGTTCTAGATTGACTAGAAATGTAGGCCCTAATAAACTCACAAGTTCCATCTTTGGCATTGATGCTGATGAATGCTGCCATTTGACAAGTATACAGGAGAAGGTTAGTAAAGGCTCATAATGTGAAATTCATCTAAGTGTAGATGTCTACAGCATAGCTGTCATCTGAATTGTCATCTAAGGTTCCAGTTGTGGCCACTGAAATACAGGGCTGTACTTCCCCCACTCTCAGGACAATCAACTGCAGCACAGCTATTTTGACAACAGTAACTTTTGGATATAACTCGTAAGTCTATGAACCAACACCAAGCCGGGTGAGTTAACTCCTAATGCACCAATCTGTTCTTAAAGACATCATCAATATACTCATGAAGACCACAGAACATTAAGGTCTACAGCTTCCAGAGATATAAACTATTAATTAAGTGCTATGAGTTCATACTAAAACTCACTTAACTGAAATGAGGGCTACTGTACAGATTGCCATACAGGAGTCATACAATGCCGTCCAGTATGCATACTATAGGGATCTCTACATTTACTGTTATTAATACTGTCTGGCCACATGAAAAGAACAGAACACTTCTCTTGCACTGCATTCTAACCAGCTGTACTCCAACAATTCTGTAATTGGTTTTTGTTTTCATTCATTCATTTTCAAGACCCACTTAATCCAAGAACTCTTTTCATTTTCATCTCAAATGTGATTTGGTTAATGATTAATAAAACCAGAATTAGCTGAAGAAACTAACATATACTTTTACACATGAACATGAGTGTCTATAACACAGACTGTTTACAATGCCAGTATACTTCTGCAGATGAAGTAACATGCAGGCTTAATATACTAATAAACACATTTGTGGGATTACAAGAGAAATGGATAGAAACTGACAATCTGTAGGGGATGAAACCGGGTAATTAGTCAGCAGAATGCTACATAGCATGTTTTTAAATTCACTCCTGATATTCAAAAAGAAGAAAGTAAACATGCTACTCAGAGTTGCAGAGTGACAATATACAGATACTGGTCTAGAAGAATGCACAAATAACTATTAGTTTTAAATGAGACTATTTCAGCAAATAACATAAACATAACATGGAGTAAGTAAGAAAAACATTACCCGCCAAGACAACTGTTTCACAGGTGAGTTGAATGACAATGATAGCTGATTTTTGGATGACCAAACTGAGCTACAGCATGATAGTAGGCACTATTTTAAAAATACATATTTTTTAGAAGATTCTATTTTTGCAAGTTACAATGTTTAATAATTTTATGAAGTTTAGATGTCAGTGTTTACTCCTTTGACTCTTCTCTGTGAAACTGGGAAGCTTCTCCGCTGCACGCACGAAGTAGATTTAAATCCCTCAGGCTTCCTTCTACATTCAGGTCACAAAGACACAGTATACAGTAGAAACTGAAAACCATCAGTGGAAACATGTATCTACAGTAAAGTAGAATCTGTGACAAAATGAACCTTGGATGCTTATCTATTCTGAATTTACTACACAAAAAACTATACATTTGGAGGAAGATTAGTGACTTGCAGAAGCAACAGTCGAGTCAAACCAAGTATCACTTAAGTAATGATGACAGAAAAATCACAGAAATTAGTTGAATCTTCTTACTAATATATTTTTACAAGGTCAAAGATTACCCAACAGCCCAATACATGTAATGAAGGATTTTTAGTTTCAATCATTTAACAGTATTTGGCTTTGTCCTTGTGTAATGGTTGTACTTTAATTGCCTCTCCATGTGAACACTACCTTTTCGTGTATTTTATCCGGGCTCCCAGATAAAGTTCACATTAACTTTTCAAAGAACTGAATGAACAGGCACAGCATAATCTGATTTCTTGTACACACACAGTAACACTTGCAAATCTTTCCTCATTTATTCAGCTTCTCTTCACAAGTTCTGAAAATACCTTCTGTTCTTCATCCTGATTTGGATATATGGAATTTCTGGGCATTACTTTAGTCAAGGACGAGCTAATAAAACTGCAATACTTTGGTTATATTCAACCTTGAGCTATTATTGATCACTCATTAAGCAGCCTTGGCTAAGAAGTTTTTCATCTTTATATTTCTATTGATTGTAACTGCTTCTTCCCATTGCTGACCAGGTTATTATAACATTACCGTTTCAGCTAGATTACTGAAAGGCACTTTATCGAGACTGTATTGTAAACCAACAAGAAACACGCATCTGACCACTTTTAAACTAGTGTGAGAGTCTCCTACCTTTTGAAACTTTTGGCTACCGCTATAAACTAACAAGGCGACAGTCTGAATTGTTTGGTCTAATTGAAATAACTCCAATCCTATGTATCTCAGATGAAAGCAAAGTCTTTTTTTCTCAGTATCAAATACAGTATCAGAAATGAGATACATACATTGGGACTGCCAGGCTTGGATAGAAGTGCAGAAGTCTAAGTATCATCTGTATGGCATGCTGAGATGTAGGGGAAAATAAGTCATCCAGGAAAGGCTCCTGTTTGAAGTGATGCAGCAGGAAAACATTTGAAAGGTTGAATTAGAATCTCTGTGAACCTCGGCAAGATTTAGATGAAGGCCAAAATGGGTGTGTAAATAAGGAGAATTGTATAACATTATGTTGAGAGTCTTCAATAGTTAACTGGATTAACATCTTTAAAAAAGAATGCTTCCTGAATAACTCTTATTTGTAGTCCCTGACCAAGCCTTCAGGTAAATAGCACCAGGTGAGGAAAAATACTCGCTTGCTTCTGTCACTCTAACCCTAGTGGCTATATGAAGGGTCTTTCACAAATCAATTCATAAGCAATTCAGTACACAGAGGGGAAAAGCTCTGATTATTGCTACTGTTCTGAAAGGCTGGTGTTGATGGCTACATTTTAGATGTTTAACTCCTTCAATGTACTGAATCCAAGCTAGCATTTCCTGGTGAAGACCACCAGACAAAGAACTGGAATACTTGAGATACAAATCCTAAGGAAACAGTATCAGCTAAAGTGGTGCCGCTGATCAGGATACAGGACTATGATATGCTCTCAGAAGTAATTTTAACTTAGCTTTCTGTCCTTCAACTTTCCTAATGAGGAAAAGATGGGAGGAGACCTTTTTCTTATATTCTCTACAAATATTTAAGAAAGCATTTGAGTAAGTCTATCACTGAATAAAAGTCAAAACAGTGTGTTGGCTTTTTTTTTTTTTTAATTTATTTTAGTGATGATACGAGGTGTCCAAATACAGAGTGCCTGAAATACCTTCCGTTTTGTCTGCAAAACACGAAGTAGTGTAGATCTGAGTAAGAAACAGAAGCAGAGCAAGACTTGGAACAGGTGAGTTGAGATTGTTTTGGAATATGAAAGAATCTGGGGGGGGAGTACAGGGCTGGGGAATTTTGGTTTTACTATAATCCTACAGCCACTGCACAGTGTGAGTGAACACTAAAATTATAAATAAGAAACAAAGTCTAACATTTAAATTAAGAAACATTTTACCTTTAATGTTAAAGACACTAATGGAATTACTGACGTGTATTTTTATAGTGTCATTGCATTTGAAATACAGTCATATTTACTAGGATCTAGCTCATGCATTTGAAACACATAAACATTTACTAGGACTTAGCTTACTCTAAGTCTACGTAAGAACTAGTTAATTTGCAAACACATTTCAGAAAGGATGGACAGGTCACTCTGAAGATAGTTCAAATTAAAATAGCAAAACCAGTAAGTAATCTGGAAAATAAGAAAAAAGGTTAAAAGTCAATCAGCGGAAAAACTAGAAAGTGTGCTCTGGAAATATGTAAATTTCCTCATTAAGTAGAAAAGGATTAGAGCATTCACTGGTCAGGACAAAACAAAAAATGTTGAATTTAAGCAACAGCAAGGAAAATTTAAGTTAAGCATTAGGGCAGATTATACAGTATAGCAGCTTTTAGCTTAGGGGAAGTGGTAAAATCACTACTGGAAGTCAGAGCTAAATTAGACACTTTTATATTCTGTCTGCTCAGAGATAACCTGGCTGTGTGACAGCAACCAATTTCATTAACAAGAGAATTATCATGACAAATGATGAATCCATAAAGAAAAATCAGAACAAACTGAAACAGAACAACTTCAGCTAACTTTTAGAGTTGGGCAGCATTTCTCCTGGTAGACTGCTGAAATTTTGATTCGAACCATTTGTACAATTTCTAGTTTTAAAAGAAGTATTTCTAACATGAACAAATCACAAGAGAGGTGACTTTAGAAGGGAGGTGCAAAGCTGAACTTCTCTATGGAGACTGTAAAATCTCATCCCCAGTATGATTTTATTAATAAACAAATCTTGGGTCATTGCTCATCTTTAATTTTTTCCTTCTTAGGTCCTCTTGGACCCTCTGCCACCCCCAAGCAAGCCAACCCTGTGACTGCCTGTTCTGTGAGCACAGCTGGCCATCATCTGAATCACTAGATTGAATTGACCCTTCATTGTACTCAAGAATTTGCTGAAAAGCATATCCACATCTGATGAAAAGAGAATCGAACACCTTCCCTTCAAGGTACACTACATAGCAGTCATACCAGTAAATTTACTTTAATGCTGTGAATGCAATACAGTAAACATCAAAATAAGCAGGTGACCACATAGTATACAGGGATTGCCACAGGCAACTCTCTGAAATCTGTCACACATTAAGAAAATAAACAGAAAGGTAAAGTTCAGGTGGCTAACAATACCATACACCGTTTCATAGCTTAACTGTAAAATGCGGCATACCGAGAAACACTAATATGCAATGTTTGAAGCACGATATAAAAAAAAAGAATATGAAATCATGGGCTTACTGATTTCAAGAGTTTTGAAAATTCATCAGTAGATGTGGAATTTCACCCCATGATTTACATACGGAGAGCATCACACACTTATTTGGAGAAATCACAGCCATGGCAATATGCTGTGATTTTTGAAGTAACAGTAGAACTGGGTTGGGTTTGGGGTTTTTTTTCAACCTTTTTCTTTTGTAGTTGGTTGAAAAAAAAACCCAGCACATAGGAAGATAGTGTTAATGTTTTTGCAGGTCTAATGACAGGCTGAATAAGCAGCTTTTGTTACGGTATACTTCCAGTTGTAAATGCTCCATCACGGGTACAGCACTTTAAAACATTCACCACCAGGCTCTACAGTGAACCACACATGCTGTATCTTATGCTTTGCTGTCATGAAAGTTCAGGAGTTAAAATGTCCCTGAGTGTTTTAACTGTAGCTAAAATAGTAAGTGTTACATGGTGATCTTCTTGAACAAAGCTTAACTCTCACATGGAGAAGCAGAGGGATGAGCCTATCAGCCTTCAAGGCCAACAGGTCTGTTCATCTTGTATGATGGCATCCTGTGAGGTGTTTAGCAGCCTCGACCACACAGCCAGACCACATGCCAGTGCAGAACCCATTAACTGCCACAGCAACTCACACTTTATTCTTCACTCCTGACCATAACACAGGCAGACATCACTGCACGGTTGGGCCTTCTGCCCCTGCCATGGCGGCCATCCATTGCAGCGCCCCTCAGCGACCTGAGCTAGCTCCCTACAGGCCGCGGCCTCATCCTAACCATCCCGGCAGCTCCAACGCTCTCTTAGCCCCATCATTCCTGCCGCCTCTCCCTGGGTCCCGGCAACACCAAGGCTCCCAAACACCATTTCCCGGCCCCGTTCGTTCACCCAATGGGCGCAAAACCAGCCCTCCGGCCTAGCCGCTTTACAGACAAACGACACCATCCCCTTCGCAAGGGTCTGCCGCAGGGTGCTGCAGGCCGCGCCCCGCCCCGCCCGCCGGGTGCATTCCGAGCTCTGATTGGTCCGCCAGAGAGTCACTCAGGAGCGCCGCAGCTGCCGGGCTCGGCCGCCCGTTGCTCCTTGCGGCTGCGCACGAGCCGGCCGTTAGGCGGTGAGCGAGCGGTGTGTGTTGCCCGGGGCCGGCTCTTCCGCCCCGCCCCTCTCCCCCTCCACCAACCCACCCTCTTCCTCGGCGGCCCGTCACGTGACTCGGACCAAGCGTTTACATTCGAAACGGGCTCCCCCCCCACCCCGGTAACCGTTTCGGTTTCATTTCCGGGCGGCCGAGGAGCAGCGGCGGCGCTGCCGAGCGGAGCGTCCCCTCCACACCCCCCCCGCCGCGGCCTTCCCTCCGCCCCCCGCCAGCCACACCCCCTCGCGCTCGCGGTGAACCGAGATCCCCTTCCCCTCACCCGCCCGCACACACACACCCCTCCTCCTCTTGCTGCTCTTCCCCCTCCTGCGCCGAGAGAAAGGGAAGGGAGGAGACGCCGGGCCTGGGTCTCCCGCACCGAGGCGCCGCGGCACAACATGGAGGAGCTGGTGGTGGAGGTGCGGGGCTCCAACGGGGCCTTCTACAAGGTACCGGGTGCTCGCGGCTGGGTCGGGCTGGGCCTCAGGGGAGGGAGTGGGGCCTGGGACGGGAGGAGGAGGAGGAGGCGGCGGCGGTGGCGGCTCCTCCTCCTCCTCCCCGCTCTGAGGGAAAGCGGAGGCCCCGGGGCAGGAAGGAGAGGAGGAGGAGGAGGAAGAGTAGGGCAGGGGTGGAGGCCTCGGCTGGGTCCTCTCCATGTCTGGGGAGGGAGGCGGGCCTCTGGGGTAAGAGGAGCCGAGGGTAGCCGCCGCGCCAGGGCTGGAGGAGCTTGAGGCCTGATGAGGAGGGAGAGAGGGAAGATGAGAGCGGGCCCCGGCGGCTGAGAAGGCCTTGGGCCTTCCCCCTATTGTGGGAAGGGGAGGCCCTGGCGCCGCCGGTGTGCGACGGGAGGCTAGGAGAGCCCTGGGCAGCCGCCTCCTTGACGCTGAAGCGAGGATCAGGCCTGGGCATGGGGCATTAATTGCTAAATCCTCAGCTTTTGTCGCTACTTAAGGAAAGTCTTTCTCTTAGGTTTTCAGAAGAGCTGCACTGCTAGTGCACGGCGTTTAAGGTGGGGGAAGGGGGGGAGGCTTGTTAAGTACATGTTCATGATAAGACGCTGTCGTGGATTCCTCCGTGTAGTGCCATGGCAGAGGGTACTGCCTACTGATATTAAATAGAACCTTGCTTGATCAAACATGTATATGTGCTGAGTTGCTAAATACATTTAATTATGAAATGTTCTTACTGAAACTAATGGCATTCCACGTTTCTTCCCAAGCCCTTGTTGCTGGTCCTGAATAAAGCCATCACTGAACCTTTACCGTATATGCTGGGTGCTTAATATTTTTATTAATACTGTGTAGTATTCATGTGGCTTTGCATGAGTTGGGTTCTAGTCATCAGTGTATTGATAGGGTATGATTTGTGGGTTTACCCTGTTCACAGGAAAATAAAACTTGGACACAGTTTGTTTGGGCCTACTGTTATTGACATGTTATGGACGTACCAGAAATAGTCATGGATTGGTTTCTGCAAGTCTACCAGAGTTTAAATGTTCCTGGTACTTTAAAAATTGGGCCTAGCTATTGTGCGGCATCCAATATTTATGTTAGCAATGAAGTAACAGGTAGAATTTCACACTCTGATGTTAGGGTGGTAAGACATGTTGGGATCCAAATGATACAGTTCCAACAGTTTACAGTGCTTTGGAGAAAACAGTACCTCTTGAAAGCTTATTCTTAAAATACATGTGATAATACCTTTTCTGAAAATAATTTTTTCTTTTTTTTTAATGTATGTCTGAAGCAGGTCTGTAAATATGGTAAATAAGCATCCTGTGGGTTTGCAGTGTTGTGGCCGGAGTTCTAGATCTATATATTGTTTCTTGGTATTAAATTGTTTAGGACTGTAAAAAATCATTTCTATATTATTGAAGACAAAGTGTTTGCTCAGCAACAGAAGGCATAAAAAGGTTGCACAAGAGAACTTATAATGAAGTTTGTATCAAATTATATGGGAGTACTTATGCAATCACGCAAAATAGATGATAAAAATTGTGCATTTTATAGTAAAAAATTTTATCAAGGAAACCCACAAGAGTTGAAAGCTTCAGTAACTTTTTTGGTTAAATTTCAGTTTTGACATCTTGGGGTCCTGCACATTTGTAACATGCCAACATTTCTGGTTGTGGTGTAGGTGAAAATGTCATTTGAAGATATGTTCATGGGAGCTTTTTCATTAATTATGATTTAGTATATCCAGGTTTTAACACAGATGTTGCTTCCAAGTTGCATATTACGTTTGCCTTTTAACTTTAAGAAATTTAAACATGATTTTATTTTTTTAATTAAAGAAATTTTGGAGTTTTTTGGTGTTTCTTGTTTGTTTGGGTTGTGTTTTTTTTTTTTTTAACCTTCCTGCAAGATTGCTCAGTATAAATCAGAAATTTTTGTCTAGCCTGATTTACGTGAGTATTGAGTACAATTTTTTTTTTCATCGTGGTGTCCGAGTATCCACTCTGCTATTAAATAATTTATTGAAATATTTTCTTGGGAGTTCTATGCCCATCTTGAGGATGGGGAATTTGTTTATAAAATGAATTGGTTGACCTGGCTTAACAAGAGGTGTGTGTGACGATGTCAAGTGTGGATTTAATTATGAGGTGATTTAATTTTTTTAAGTTAAAAAGTTTAAGCAGTCATGTGAGAAATGTTTTACGACAGTAACACTGCAAACAGGCCAAAAGCAAAACAATTTATTTATTCAATCTCATGGTTTGCAGATAAGTCGTGATAATTTTTTTTTGTTTAGAATAATTCTCAAGATTTTCATCAGACTATGTAAATGTTTTGGAAAAACATGCATCTATCTTGATATTAAGACATGGAGGGCGAAGGAGTATGAGCTTGCTGGAGTCATGAAGGGACTAAGTGGCCAAAGTAGGCACTCAGTCACCACTTGAGGTTTTTGTATCCTCCTTGTAGCTCTGTTTGGGAGCTTTATAAATGCAAGTCTGTAAGCGCTTATAGTTTTGGTTTTGAGTGTTCCCAGCAGCATCTTGATCTTGACAGTACAAAACTGGTGCCTAGTTGTCACTTAAGCCCTACTGAGAGTAATAAAACAGTCTTTTCTCTGCTTGTGTTACTTGTGGGACCTGATCCAGAGCACATTCAGAGGTACAACTAGAGGGATCATGTTCCACACAAAACTTAGGAGATGGCTTGAGGATGTAAGG